GAGACAAGGCCTTAATGAGGTAATTAAAGTTAATAAGGTCATAAGGGTGGGCCTCTGATCCCACAGGACCAGTGACCTTATAAGATGAGAGAAGGGACACCAGGAAGTGCCTGCAGAGGAAAAGTCACATAAGGACAGAGAGAGAAGCTGGCCATCTGCAAGCCAAGGAGAGAGGCCTCACCAGAAATCAACCCTGCTGGCACCTTGATCTTGGTCTTTCAGCCTCCAGAACTGTGAGAAAATAAGTTTTTCAGTTTTTTTTTTGTTGTTGTTGTTCTTTTTTATTTTGTGGGGGGAGGGTTTTGAGACAGAGTCTTGCTCTGTCGCCCAGGCTGAGTGTAGTGGTACAATCTCAGCTCACTGCAGCCTTTGCCTCCCAGATTCAAGTGATTCTCCTGCCTCCGCCTCCCGAGTAAGTGGGATTACAGGCACCCACCACCATGCCCTGCTAATTTTTGGTATTTGTAGTAGAGACGGGGTTTCACCATGTTGGCCAGGCTGGTTTTGAACTCCTGACCTCAAGTGATACCCCCCCACCTCGGTCTCCCCTATCTGTGGCCCCTTGTTATGGTAGCCCAAGCAAACACCCCACACACCCAGATGGACCCACTCTTCTTACTCCTCTCGCACGTGACACAGGAGGTGATGGCAGGATGGGGGAGCGCAATTTAAAACCACCCTTTGCTCAAAATTTCTAGAATTCCTGATTCCTCATCTGTGCTGGATGACATCAAGGGTAGACAACAGCACTGTCCTTGAAGACTTCCTAAAGGTACAGGCACCGCAGAAAACCGAAGCCCCTTCCCCCAGCCACCCACACACAGTCCTAACCACAGACCACGTCTCTACCAAGTATCAAGGCTCAAATGCAGACATAGTGACATTTTTTTTCTTCAGAGATTCAAGGTGTAAGCTCTGGATATGTCCCAAACTTGCTCAAGATGCCAAATAATAAAACAATTTAGTTTCTAAAAAATTGTCTGAGTCAAAACAAGAAAAACAATCTATGCCTCTGTCATTGGCCTAACTTGAGCGTGTTTAAGGGCATGTGTGTCACCAGTGAAAATGCACGGGCAAGGCCAGTGACTTCCTCAAAGACAGAAAGCGGCTGAGGGAGACCCAGACACCATGCTCTACGTGGACCTGAGAAGCAGTTGACAAAGCAAATCGTGTTTATCTGAGATGCTAGGACCTCAGCCCCGGCTGCAGGAACTCTACAGAAACAGAATGTCAGACACCTGCCCGGGCACACAGGGATGCCTGCAGCCCTACTTACAAAGGCTCACTTTGAAGGTGAGCCTACACACCTTCAAAGGCTCACAGGTGTGATCTCAGGGGCTGCTGTCCTTAAAAAAGAAAATGCCCATAAATCAAAATGCAGTGTTCTTTTACAGTAGCTGTGCCTCACAGCCAGAGTAAAGTCTTGTCCGTCTACACCACGGTGCTGCCCACACAGACACAGAATCGTAGGTGCTGCGAAGGTGATGGGGCGTTAGATCCCAGCAAGTCACATAGGGTGGCTGCTTCTTCCATCTTCAGTTCTTTCCATTATTATCAGCTCAGTAACAGGATATCCTCAACACCTTTCTTTGTTTTGTTTTGTTTTTTTTTTTTTTTTTTTTGAGACGGAGTCTTACTCTGCCGCCCAGACTGAAGTGCAGTGGCCGGATCTCAGCTCACTGCCAGCTCCGCCTCCTGGGTTTACGCCATTCTCCTGCCTCAGCCTCCCAAGTAGCTGGGACTACAGGCGCCCGCCACGTCGCCCGGCTTTTTTTTTTTTTTTTTTTTTTTTTGTATTTTTAGTAGAGACGGGGTTTCACCGTGTTAGCCAGGATGATCTCGATCTCCTGACCTCGTGATCCGCCCGTCTCGGCCTCCCAAAGTGCTGGAATTACAGACTTGAGCCACCGCGCCCGGCCAGCACCTTTCTAATGTGACTCGCTGACTCATCTTTTTCCTTTGGCTTATAAAAATATATTTCGACTGTGTTTTCACCACCAAAATGCATTATCTTGGTCTTTCTTTCTTGCCTTTGCATAGGACCAACGGAGAGACACTGGCTACTCTGACAACCCTAACGTGGACCCCAGGGATGTCACCAACAGCATGACCTTTGTGACCAAATCCAGCAATCAGAACTTCATCAAGGTTTTTATGCCTAAATTTTTTTTCCCCAAAATTTTTATTTTAGATTTTTTTTTTTTTTTTTTTGAGACAGAGTCTCGCTCTAGCACCCAAGCTGGAGTACAGTGGCGCCCTCTCGTCTCACTGCAACCTCCGCCTCCCGGGGTTCAAGCAATTCTCTTGCCTCAGCCTCCTGAGTTAGCTGGGATTGCAGGCGTCCACCACCATGCGCAGCTGCAGAACTTCATTGATTTCCTCAACCGAAGTCCAGCAGTCATCACTGGGTACAGAAGCTGTGATTTCTTGGTCTGTGGGGCCATAAAGCGCAGCCTGATGGCAGGATGTGGCTGTTCCATTTCAACCCCTACTTTTCCGGCACAATTCTCTTTTGCAGAAGCATTTCCAAAAGGCTGGGCGCAGGGGCTGCACCCAAATGGGCTTTCCCCGCACTGCTGATCACCCCACTTCTGGTCTTTCTGATGGTTACAGAGCTTCTCGGCAGTACAAAGACTGAGATGCTTGACATAGACCAGGGCCAAAAAGAAGCAGCACCCATCTCTCTTTTGAACAATGAGAGTGGGTCTCAATCAGAATCCAGGGCAGGCAACCATGCCAGGCACACTTAGTAATAATTTCCTTCCATTGTCTTCATTTTACAGTGATCTGCAATTTTGATTAACTCATAGTGACTCTCCATTTACAGTAGTGAGATAAAGTTTCCTTTTTCAAAAAATAAAGCCATTCAAGTTTGTTGAAGTGCATCATTAAAAATAAACTATAGTCCGGGCATGGTGGCTCACGCCTGTAATCCCAGCACTTTGGGAGAAGCAGGCAGATCATGAGGTTAGGAGTTCAAGACCAGCCAGGCTAACATGGCAAAACCCCGTCTCTACTAAAAATACAAAAATTAGAAAGGCGTGGGCCTGTAATCCCAGCTACTCAGGAGGCTGAGGCAGGGGAATCACTTGAACCCAGGGGGTGGAGGATGCAGTGAGCTGAGATCGTGCCATTGCACTCCAGCCTGGGCAACAAGAGCCAGACTCTGTCTCAAAAAAAAAAAAAAAAAAAAAGTAAACTATAGTAGGCCATGCACGATGGCTCACACCTGTCATCCCACCGCTTTGGGAGACTGAGGCAGGTGGATCGCTTGAGCCCGGGAGTTCAAGACCAGCCTGGACAACATGGTGAGACCTCACCTCTACAAAAAAATAAATAAATAAAAATGAATAATAAAGTAAACTATAGGGTAAGTAACAGTACTGTGGTAAACAAAAGACTGACCAGTGAAAAGCAGCCAGCTACATACTCACCCACCTCGTGTCCCACAGACCGAGTGATCTATTAACACGTCCCACAGACCAAGTGATCTATTAACACCTGCTCAGCCGAGTTCAGGGCTGAGCAGCGCCACAGTAAACCACACACGCTCATCATACAAAAAGTGCGGCCAGCCGTTCCTACGCAGCAGCCTCGCGGTGTCTGCTCACTTCCTGCTTCACCCTTGAGTCAAAGAACGCTGGGTGCCTCCCAGACTCTTTCTTCCTTCCTTAGCAACAAAAACTAATTTCTTCTTTATCGAGAACAATAGCCCCCTCTGCAGCCACAGGGGGCCATGAGATGAATGCTGGCCCCAGGCACAAGTGGTATACTGTGAGCACCTTCCAGTGACGGTGGGGGGGCTTCACCGTTTTTGTACCAAGAGCCCATTCTGTAGTCTAGGAATAACCATGGGCTCCTTTTCAGGAAAATGTATTAAAATATATAACACATACCATATCACAAAGGAAACCAATTACATCAAAATAGAATGATCGTAATTGAAGAAAATGCTACATTTCACCCAGAGCTAAATGAAAAACATTGTAATATTTTCCCTGTCCAAGCTCAGGCCCCTGAATCCTATATGTAGAAACAGACGAAGTCTCCCTTTTGCCCTCTCCTCTTTCCTGCCGCCTGGAATGAGAATGAAATGGCTGGAGCTAAACTGGCTATTTTGGCCTAAGAGGCAAGACAGGAGGAGTCTCAGTCTCTGATGGCCGTGGAGCCACATGCCAGCCCCAGCCCGTCTACCTCTGGGTAGAGAGAAATTTCCATCACATCTCCTTGACCATGAGAACTTCAAGAAAAGTAGATCTGAATGGCTTCATATACAAAAAATAAACCAACTGTTGGTTTACATAACAGTGTCTGCTCACTTCCTGCTTCATCCTTGAATCAGAAAATGCTGGGTGCCTCCCAAACTCCTTCTTCCTTCCTTAGCAACAAAAGCTAATTTTTTTTTTAATTGGGAACAAGCACCCCCTCTGCAGCCAGGGGAGGCCATGGGACAAATGCTGGCTCAAGACGCAAGTGAGGTACCAGGAGCACCTGTCGGTTTATAGAACAGTTGGTTGATTCTTTGTTACACGAAGCCATTCAAACCTAGCCTTCCTTGCTATATCTCTAAAAATTTTTCTAGGTAGTAAAATTGGAAACAGTTGAAGCCTGATCATTAGCAAAGTTTAATCATCTTGGAGAGACACATTCTTCTTCACTTACAAAATGAGTCCTCCAGAGTTACAAAGGAAATCCAGCTAGAATAGGTCCTCTGTAGCTAACTGCGTTACGGGAGGCAAACCGCGAAACGTGGAACCACAGAATTCTATGGCAATGCAGCTCCACCCCTAAGGCACGCCCGTGCGCACACGGCCAAGTGCCATGCATTAACCACAGTTCTGGAAATTCACAAGCACACACCACATCTCCAGTCTACAACCAGGGATGTACATACCTGACTTGAACCCACAGTCACAGGGCTATAAGCACAAAGGCACTGCCATGAGACATGGGCCAGGAGTCATCCCAGAGCTGGTGGAGGTGGCTGCAAAAGTACTTACTCATTGTCATGGACTCTGGCACTGAGGCAGAAGGTAACAGGCTGCTCAGAGGACTTCCGTGGCCTGGAGAGCTGGCTTCCACGCTAGGAAAAAGCAGGCAGGAGGAAGTTACACTCGGCCACTGAAAGTACACACCCTCACCACTCCAAAAGCTAGCAGAGGTCGGTTTACTCCGGTACCTCTACCAGAAGGGATAGAAGCAGTCATCGGAAATTAGTCAGGCCTTGTTATCTGCAGATTCCGTATTTGCAAATTCATCTACGCACTAAAGTTTATTTGTAACCCCAGAGTCAATACTCGAGGTGCTTTCACAGTCATTCATGAACATGTGCAGAGGCCAATAATTTCGGTCCCTAATATGCATGTTCTCAGCTGAAGTCGAACAGCTGGGACCTCAGATCTTACACCACAAACAAGCATCCTCTTTGCTGTCTATGTTTTCAGCATTTTTTTTTTTTCACTTTTCTTTCTTTTGTGCAATCTTGGCTCACTGTAACCTCCACCTCCTGGGTTCAACCGATTCTCGTGCCTCAGCCTCCCAAGTAGCTGGGATTACAGGCCTGCGCCACCACACCCGGCTAATTCTTGTATTTTTACCAGAAATGGGATTTTGCCATGTTGGTCAGACTGGTCGCAAACTCCCGACCTCAGGTGATCCACCTGCCTCAGCCTCCCAAAGTGCTGGGATTACAGGTGTGATCCACCGTGCCCGGCCTTTTTTTTTTTTTCACTTGATTTTGTTGTTTAAAATGTCCCCAGGCACAGTGCTGAAGTGGTACTGCCGACAGCTCCTAAGCACAGGAACGCTGTGATGTGCCGTATGGAGATAATTTTGTGAGTTAAAGATGCTTCATTCAGGCATGGCTTACAGTGCTGCTGGTTGTGAGTGCAATGTTAATGAATGAACTATATACATTAAACAAGGTGTCTTTAAACAGGAACAGACATAAAACCAGGTTATGTATTGATCAGTTGATAAAAATGCTGTGACCAGGCCAGGTGCGGTGGCTCTCACATGTGATCCCAATACGATGGGAGGCCGAGGCAGGTGGATCACCTGAGGTCAGGAGTTCAAGACCAGCCTGGCCAACATGGTGAAAACCCATCTCTACTAAAAATACAAAAATTAGCTGGGCGTGGTGGCGCAGGCCTGTAATCCCAGCTACTCAGGAGGCTGAGGCACAAGAATCACTTGAACCCGGGAAGCAGAGGTTGCAGTGAGCCGAGATCTTGCCACTGCACTCCAGCCCGGGCAACAGAGCAAGAGTCCATCTCAAAAACAAAATGTGTTACCAGCGGCTCAAAGCAACCTAACCATGTACTTCCCTTAGGAGCACTGGTTCAGTCTTCATGGCAACTTTATAGAACGTAACTACTGGGAACAATAAGAATCAACTGTATGTTTACAAATAATTTATCACGTGAAAAATAAAGCTTAGTATCTTCAGTGAGAACAGCCCAGTTATCACACGGTTAACAGAGATACACACACACACATCCCCCATGACTAGAAGGAAAAGTACCAAAACATCAACAACATAATGGAGTTGAGGCTTAACAGTGATTTTCTTTTTTCATTTACTCCTGCATTTTCCAACTTTTTTTTTTTTTTAAGACAGGGTCTCAATGGCTGGAGTGCAGTGGCGCGATCTCACCTCACTGAAGGCTTGAACTCCTGGGTTCGAGTGATCTTCCCACCTCAGTCTCCTAAGTAGCTGACACTACAGGCGTGCACCACCATATCTGGATAATTTTTGTTGTTGTTTATTTGGTAGAGACAGGGTCTCACTACCTTGCCCAGACAGGTGGTCTTGAACTCCTGGCCTCAAGTAATCCTCCCACCTTGGCCTCCCAAAGTGCTGAGATTACAGGCATGAGCCACCATGCCTAGCCACATTTTCTAACATCAATAGCAAAAATAGACTCCACGCCCTGGAAAGGTCTGGCAATACCAATTCCTTCTGACGCTGAACTAACTGGGACGAGCTTCCTACGAGCAGTGTCATTTTGAGACAGCAGAACCCTTGCCTGTTCCAGGTGAGACCACGGCGCCTAATATGGCTTACAGTAGTCAGGAAGTTCCACTCTAGAGCTAAGGTTGAAAATTAGGATGTAACAGAACCCTGGGACCCCAAATTACAACCATGAGGATAGACAGAAGAAGAAAACGGTAAGAGCAGCAAGGATGGCAGTGGCGTAAGAAAGACTTTGGTGTCCATACTGGTTCTGCCACCAAGCAACCAGGGTCTCGCTCTGTCACCCAGGCTAGATAAAAATGTTATGACCAGGCTGGGCGCGGTGGCCCATGCCTGGAATCCCAGTGCTTTGAGAGGCCAAGGCAGGTGGATCACATGAGGCCAGGAGTTCAAGACCAGCCCGGTCAACATGGGGAAACCCCATCTCTCCTGAAAAATACAAAAATTAGCCGGGCATGGTAGTGGACATGTGTAATCCCAGGTACTTGAGAGTCTGAGGCAGGAGAATCGCTTGAACCCAGGAGGCAGAGGTTGCAGTGAGCCGAGATCGTGCCACTGCACTCCAGCTTAGGCGACAGAGTGAGACTCTGTCTCAAAAAAAAAAAAAAAAAAAAAAAAAAAAAAAAAACCAGCCAGGTGCAGTGGCTCACGCCTGTAATCCCAGCACTTTGGGAGGCCAAGGCGGGTGGATCACGAGGTCAGGAGATCAAGACCATCCTGGCAAACATAGTGAAACCCCGTCTCTACTAAAAATACAAAAAATTAGCCGGGCGTGGTGGCGGGCGCCTGTAGTCCCCGCCACTCCGGAGGCTGAGGCAGGAGAATGGCACCAACCCAGGAGGCGGAGGTTGCAGTGAGCAGAGATCAAGCCACTGCACTCCAGCCTCGGCGACAGAATGAGACTCTGTCTCAAAAAGAAAAAAAAAAAAAACAGAAAAAAAACATCAAACAACTTGGGACAACTCAATTTCCCCTTGAGATATTTTATTTGAAAAAAGAAAAAGAAAACCTATATAGTGCTTACTACCTGCCAGACAGCATACTGAGCACTTCACAAATGCTATGTAATATCTAAATGGCTTAAATATACAACACTAGGATTGTCAAATCTTGTTATCAAATATCAACAAATATTTAAATTAAGAAAATAACGAAAGAGGAGGCACCCAGATATGCCCCAAAAGGTGTTGACATTTGGCATCTACCATCTCTTATACAGTCTCTCTGAGGGAGTAATGACCTAAGACCTTTGGCAACTGCATCTTCTATGATGTAAAGACTAAATCTGCTCACGCCTATAATCCCAGCACTTTGGGAGGCCGAGGTGGGCAGATCACCTGAGGTCAGGAGTTCGACACCAGCCTGGCCAACACTGTGAAACCCCATCTCTACTAAAAATACAAAAAAATTAGCTGGGCATGGTGGTGTCTGCCTGTAACTCTACCTACTCAGGAGGCTGAGGCAAGAGAATGGCTTGAACTCGGGAGGCGGAGGTTGCAGTGAGCCAAGACTGAGCCACTGCACTCCAGCCTGGGCGACTCAAAAAAAAAGACTAAATCTAAACATAAAAGTGAAGTAAGCCCTTGCCCCTTAATCCTAGCAGGTGCACTCCTATCTCTAAAAAAGAATAAAATGCACAGCCGTGAATAGGACGTTTCAATGCCAAAGGTAACTGGGTTTCTCAACATTAACCTGTACCGAAGTCCAGGATCCGGGAGAACGTGGTCCTCTGGTCCTGTCCCGTTCTCCAGGCTTCCGAGGGGGGCATCTGTGCAGAGAGAGCAATGACAGAAAGAGGTCACTTTTCTCATTCCGTGTTTTCCATAAGACAAAGACACAATGCAGACATTGGCTCATCTGCTACATCACTTGACTAAGAAATTTTTCTCCATCTTGCCTGCGTGCTGGATTTTAATCAGCTGTTTCCTGTTGTTCAGAGATCATCTCAGACTTGGCATCAGTCACTGTAGAAACAGAAAGCCCTGGCCGGGCGCGGTGGCTCACTCCTGGAATCCCAGCACTTTGGGAGGCCAAGGCGAGCAGATCGTGAGGTCAGAAGATCCAGACCATCCTGGCTAACATGGTGAAACCCCGTCTCTACTAAAAATACAAAAAATTAGCCAGGCGTGGTGGCAGGCGCCTGTAGTCCCAGCTACTCCAGAGGCTGAGGCAGGAGAATGGCGTGAATCCAGGAGGCAGAGCTTGCAGTGAGCCAAGGTCATGCCACTGCACTCCAGCCTGGGCGACAAAGTGAGACTCCATCTCAAAAAAAAAAATAAAGAAAGAAAGAAATAGAAAGTCCTATACTAGGCCGGGCATGGTGGCTCACTCTTGTAATCCCAGCACTTTGGGAGGTCGAAGCAGGTGGATCACCTGAGGTCAGGAGTTCGAGACCAGCCTGGCCAACATGGTGAAACCCCATCTCTACTAAAAATACAAAAATTAACCAGGCATGTTGGTACATGCCTATAATCCCAGCTACTTGGAAGGCTGAGGCAAGAGAATCGCTTGAACCCGGGAGGCAGAGGGTGCAGTGAGCCAAGATCGCGCCATTGCACTCCAGCCTGGGCAACAAAAGCGAAACTCCATTAAAAAAAAAAAAAAAAAAAAAAAAAAAAAAAGCCCTATGCTTCCCTTTAACCTGTGCCCTTTTTTTTTTTTTTTTTAGACAGGGTCTCACTCTATCACCCAGACTGGAGTGCAGTGGTGTGGTGTGATCACGGCTCACTGCACCTTCAACCTCCCAGGCTCAAGTGGTCCTCCTGCCTCAGCCTCTCAAGTACCTGGGACTACAGGTGTGTGGCACCATGCCCAGCTAATTTATTTTTTATTTTTTTGTAGAGATGGGGGTCCCACTATGTTGCCCAGGCTGGTCTCAAACTCCTGGGCTCGAGCAATCCTTCCACCTTGGCCTCCCAAAGTGCTTGGAATACAGATGTGAGCAACTGTGCCTGGCCTGTGTCATTTTCGACCTTGAGCCACCTAGAATTATGCATGAAGTCCGTATTCAGAACCAACGTCAGAAACCGGGTATAATGAATCTGCTCCTGCTTGTAGTGCCTTGAGTAAGACACTAGGGGACAGCATGGTCTAACTGCTGACAATGTCTGCAGCTTTCTAAAAAGGCCACTTTTCCCTGCATTAAGTGCATTTAGGAAAGACATTCACAAGAAGTGGGGCCATAAGTAGTCTCTGGAACTAACAGGCTAGTGACTCAAAGGCACCAGTGTGTTCAAAGATGACAAAAGTCTGCTAAGGTGAGGAGCCCTCCATGTGGGAAGTCTCCATTAAAAGACGAAGTGCCTCCAGAATGAGAGGGAATATCAGAATGTCGCTAAGGGAGGAAGATGTCCCTTAGAAGAGACAAGAGGCAGAAATGGAGCAAAAGGAATGGAGTCTCAGGAGAAATGCTGGCAGTGGCCACCTGGGCAGGCAGGCAGAATCTTGGCACCACTTGGCTCCACGCCTCCCATGGAAATGAGGCATCAGGACAGAAGTGACTTGATGCAACCTGGCGTTCCAATCAGGCTACCCATTCCCCTGGATCTGAGTCCAACATCCTGACACAGTCCTAGAATAGTGTTCCTTCCTATGCCACGTCTTGCCCCTGTGTGCAGCCCCCAGGCTGTCCCAGCTTGCAAGCCCCGACAGTATCGTTACTGCGGTGAAAGGAAATGCCGGCCGACGCCTGCACACATATCCACAGAGTGCAATAGGCAGCAACTGGAGCTCGGATCCCATCAGCAGTGAGAAGATGGAGCTGAGTCTGCGAGCTGACTGCCCAGGGAATGCAATAGACATCAGCTGGAGCTCCCGTCCCATCAGCAGTGAGAAAATGGAGCTGAGTCGGCAAGCTGACTGTCCAGGGAATGCAATAGACATCAGCTGGAGCTCGGGTCCCATCAGCAGTGAGAAGATGGAGCTGAGTCTGCGAGCTGACTGCCCAGGGAATGCAATAGACATCAGCTGGAGCTCGGGTCCCATCAGCAGTGAGAAGATGGAGCTGAGTCTGCGAGCTGACTGCCCAGGGAATGCAATAGACATCAGCTGGAGCTCGGGTCCCATCAGCAGTGAGATGGAGCTGAGTCTGCGAGCTGACTGCCCAGAGAGTGCAGTTGACATCAGCTGGAGCACGGGTCCCATCAGCAGTGAGAAGATGGAGCTGAGTCTACGAGCTGACTGCCGGGTGTGGGGCCACAGGAAATCTGCAAGGACTCTAGAGGCTGATGGGGCGTTACCTTCCCTGGAGACATCTGCCCAGAGGAGGAAGAAGAGCTCTGGGTTCTCTAACACCAAAGCCCAACATGCACGAAAAAGGTGACTGGGATGTCTGATGGTTCAGGAGGGCCCAGCTAAGCAGCAAAGGAGCTGCTGAAACAATCAGACCACCTACTGCAAGCACCTCACGGTCCCACAATAATTCAGGAACCCAACTACAAGGTCCCCTCCGTGGGGAACGGGACAGGGAGAGCAGGAAATTGATTCATGAGACAGAGGCTGTGAACACACATTCAAAACTCCCCAGGGGTCCTAGACATACCCTGGGACCACCAGCTCTCTCCCAGCCCATGCCCCTCCTCAGCTGACCTGCCTGCATCTACACTGCTGCTGAACAGGCATTGGCAAGGTCACCAACCCCCTAACCTTTGGCTATTTGGACCAAGGATGGTCTAGAAATGCAGGACTGCTGTGGCCTGGCCTGCAGACATGAGCTAGGCCTACGAGATTGTCACTTTTAGGGGACCTCAACTGAGACCCAGTGAGAAATTTCAGTTGGTGTGGAAGGTCATGTGACTGAGGCAATGCTGTGGGCCAAGGAGGGCGTGAGAATGAACAGGGAGCAAAGACGGACTAGAAAAGGCTGGGCACGGTGACTCACGCCTGTAATCCCAACACTTTGGGAGGCCGAGGAGGGCGGATCACCTGAGGTCAGGAGTTTGAGATCAGCCTGGCCAATATGGTGAAACCCGATCTCTATTAAAAATATTTTTAAAAATTAGCTGGGCATGGTGGCGGGCGCCTGTAATCCCAGCTATTCTGGAAGCTGAGGCAGGAGAATCGCTTGAACACAGAAGGTGGAGGTTGCAGTGAGCTAAGATCACGCCACTGCACTCCAGCCTGGGTGACAGTGTGAGACTCCATCTCAAAAAAAAAAAAAAAGACGGACTAGGAAAAGAGGAGATGGGCAGACCCCCATCAGGAAGTGGAAGGAGGCCACATGAGAAAGATGACAGCACCCCTACTAAATCAAGAAAGGCCCCTCCATGCCAACGCCCCAGCTCCCGGGCCACAGACAAGATGTCCAGGAAGCTCTCACCAGGGGCCTTGGCATGTGCCTGGCACCTTCCCCAGATTAACTCAGGGCACCTTCACCGTGGATCTCAAAGGGAGCTGATATAATCACACCCCCAGTCTCACAGGACTGTGGTCAAGAGCAGATGAGTTCGTCAGGTCCAGCCACATCGCAGTGCAGGACGCCTTCAGCTTTGCAAATGCTGGCTCTCATTGTCACTGTCATCCCCGTTTTCCAGATGAGGACACAGCAACTGACAGACAGGAAGCATTCGGCCTCATTTAATAGCCAGGAATGCTGGCACTCGGAGCAGTAAAGCACTCGGGCTTACACAACTTTCTAGAGCTGGTACTGCATCCAACTGGCCCCGTCCTGCTGCCAGTGGCTGCCCCGCCCTGCCTCTGCGCTTGACTAGTTTGAGTAGGTTTCTCCTCCCTGCCAAGGGACAGGAAGAGTCTAAACCCCAGTTCAGAATTTCAACAGCTTCCTGAGTGATTGGTGGGCTCCAGTCATAATTTCCTAAATCTGGGCCCAGACAAGGGACATTCACTTCCTAGGAAAATGAGGAGGCGCTTAAGTGGGTTGGGCCAAGCCTTCTCTGACCCAGCGGTGCTCTGAGGGCAGGGACAGCAACTGGGCACTTCTCTGAGCCAGATGCTGTGCCAGCTGCTTTACACTGCACCCCACGGGCCAGCTGGGATCAACCATGTCCTCCCTGCGACGTGCGCTGAAGCAAGCAATAACAAACCACATGGGCACGTGCTCAACCGTGTGGAACGGTAGGAAAACGCTGACCCACACCAGAGACTTTTTATTTATTTACTTATTTACTTATTTATTTATTTATTTTGAGATGGAGTCTCACTCTGTCACCCAGGGTGGAGGACGGTGCCATGATCTCGGCTCACTGCAACCTCCACCTCCCGGGTTCAGGCGATTCTCCTACCTCAGCCTCCTGAGTACCTTGGACTACAGACACACACCACCACACCCGGCTAATCTTTGTATTTTTAGTAGAGACAGGGCTTCACCATGTTGGCCAGGCTGGTCTCAAACTCCTGACCTCAGGGGATCTACCCACCTCGGCTTCACAAAGTGCTGGGATTACAGGCATGAGACATTGCACCCAGCCCAGAAACAGCTTTTAACCAAGCTACTTCCTGATCCCCAAGCACTTTTCTGCACAGGGTGGCAGGGCCTTTACAGACAGGGGTTCAGTTACCTTCTTGCATCTCCAAAGAGGTAAAATCATGGTCACTATTTGTGGTCAGTTTTTAAATGATGAAGTTCAACGAGCCACTGGTAAGGGAGAAAAACGGGCTTGCCAGCCGGTTCAGCCCAACAAGCACTCCACCGGAGCACCTCAGGATACCCAGGTTCAGGTAGAGAAGCCAAGCCCTCGCTCACTTCTGCATCTCAGTGAGCCCCACCTGGCCCTGAGCCCCATCCCCACCCCCCTCCTGTGCCTCCCAGCTCCCATTCCTACCTGTCCAGGGAACTCAGATACTCCCGCTGCTTCTCGAAGCCAAAGCTCTTACTGGAGGAAAGGAGTAATCGGGAGACACCCACCTGCCGGGCTGTAGGAGCCCACGCCGCTGACAGGGAAGAGGATGTCCGAGTCATTGTGCAGCACCTTCAGCGGAGCCCAGCTGTGCATCTGGGAGAGGCAGGTGTTCCCGTCCAGTGGCCTAAGGTGAAAGAACACAGCTGCAGGACAGGCCAAAGAGCCCAGAGGCCTCATGATTCACCAACAAGCATCCACATCACCCTCTTGAGAACTAACCAGGCCACGGCAGGGCTGAGAACAGAAAGAGGTATGGGCTGGGAGGAACATGGAGTCCAGATCCAGACCTCTTGCATTTGTTCTCTCAACCAGTGTTTATCGAGCACCTATTCTATGCCAGGCACTGTGATCCCTACTGGCGGCAAAAAAGCCAGTGAACAGTGTTGATCCTGCCCTCAGGGAGCTTGCAGTCTGCTGGGGAGCATGAACATGAATCAAATAATCCTGCAAGAAGCTGGAAATGGCAGCTCAGATCGTAGAGGAAGGTCATGGAAGGCTGCCTGGAAGAAGCTGGGCTTCAGGAAGGAGCTGGCCCAAGCTCTGTTCCTTCCCAAGAACAGGAACAGAGACTTGGGGGAGGGAACAGCACATGCATCATAGGCCATCATGAGGCCACATGCACAGGCCATCTGCTCCAGGTTCTGAAATGACAGCAGTCACCTGAGCTGGGGCTAGTGCTACTCTGCCTCACTGCTTCTGAGCCCCTCATGGGTAAAAGGACAGAATCAGACCAGTCACGTCTGGGTCCCTTCCAAGAAAGGGGGTCGGCTCAACTATTAACCAGGCTCATATGATCTGTTATATTGTCACCTTACCCACAAAGTACAAAACTCTAATGCGTGCCATCTTTGTAATGCCAGGCTATGTGGTAGGGTTTGTTTGGGAGTAATGGCCCCTGCCTCTGAGCAATCAAGAAATGTTAATAAATACCTGGAGCTATTTTTGCAGTATAGTCGTCACCCAGTATCTGCATTCCATCTGTATCAACCGTTTCAAAAACCCCCTGCAAATCTGAGGATGCTCAAAGTCTCTTGTTTGTTTTTAGAGTCGGGGTCTTGCTCTGTTGCCCATGCTGGAGGACAGTGGCACAATCACAGTTCACTGCAACCTTGAGCTCCTGGGATTCAGCAGACCCTCCTGCCTCAGCCTCCCAAGGAGTTTGGACTACAGGCATGAGCCACCATACCCGACTAATTTTTTGTTTGGTTTGGTTTTTTGTGAAGACAGGGTTTCGCTATGTTGTCCAGGCTGGTCTCAAAATCCTAGCCTGAAGCGATCCTCCCACCTCAGCCTCCCCAAGTGCTTGGATGACAGGCATAAGCCACCTCGCCTAGCCTAAAGTCCCCGATGTAAAATGGTGTTGTATTTGCATAAGCACATCCCCCCACATATGTACTTTACATCATCACTAGATTGCTTACGATATCTAATAAAATCCAAATGCTATGTAAATAGTTGTTATACTGTATTTTTATCTGTATTATTTTTATTGGGTTTTTTTGGGTAATATTTTCGATCCACAGTTGGCTGAAACCATAGAGGCAGAACCCACGGATGCAGAGTCCATGGAGGCAGAGAGCCAGCTGCACTGTAAGCTTTTTTTTTTTTTTTGAGACAGAGTCTCCCTCTGTCGCCCAGGCTGGAGTGCAGGGGCGCAATCTCAGCTCACTGCAAGCTCCGCCTCCTGGGTTCACGCCATTCTCCTGCCTCAGCCTCCCAAGTAGATGGGACTACAGGCGCCCACCACCAAGCCCAGCTAATTTTTGTATTTTTAGTAGAGACAGGGTTTCACCGTGTTAGCCAGGATGGTCTCGATCTGACCTCATGATCCCTGCCTCTGCCTCCCAAAGTGCTGGGATTACAGGCGTGAGCCACCGCGCCCAGCCTGTACTATAAGGTTTAAACATCATTTTGTATCTCAGTAGATAAAGAAGACCAAAGCAGATCATAATCAAATCTACTTAAGAAGGGAAGGAAAGGGGGAGGGAGGGGCAAACAAAGGGAAGGGAAGTAAAAGAAGAAAGTGTGTGGCTTGTCCAAGGCCATCAGCCCTAAGCAATAGAACCAAGGCTGTGGGACTGGAGCCCAGGTCTTCCAAATTCAAGTACACTGAGTCTCTCGTCTCCTGCCCACAAGTGACATTACTTATATAGTTTGTCTTTATTTTAGAGTTACTCTAAAATCGACAAATATTGTAATAGACCACAGAGTACATATTTCAGGCTTTGTGACATACGCTTCTTTGTTGGTGTCTCTTAACAACTCTTTAAAAACGTAACAGCCGTTCACTGCTTGGGGGCGGATTTGGCCTGCAGGCATGGTTTGCCAGCTCCTATTTTAGAGGCTTGTCAGGTAGAAGTCTCCTTTCAGCCCTCTCTAGCTTTTGGCCAGACATCTGGCACAGAGCGAGAAGCGCAGGAGTAAATAATCCAGCAGAATTTTGCAAGACGGATCATTCAACCATGCCCGTAACACAATGAGGCTTTCAGACAGCAGGATGGGGGCAAAAGAAGAGCCACTCCCGCCGGTGTCCTGGCAGCACGCCCAACCTGGGCAGAGAACCAGGTGAACTTGGCTGTGCCTCTGGAATCTGTCAACGTGCCCTCCTGAAGCTCTGACCCGGCCACTGGTGACCACAGGGCAGGCACCCAGAGGTGGTCAGGGGCGCCCTTTCAGGAGAAGGCAGCAAAAGCAGTCAGACCTGTCTCGGCCACTCCACTGCTTCCGGGCAGGTGCGATGTTCTGCTGGTTTCTAAGATAATTCTCGACATTTCCCCACAACATATCCAAGGACAAGGTGAAGCCGGGCCCCAAGAGGATGAGGTTCCAAACCCGAGAAGTGAGCCCCAAGGACCACCATCTCAAAATGAGTTACATTAAAGACTGCTGGTCAGGCCAGTGGCTCACACTTGTAATCCCGGTACTTTGGGAGGCCGAGGCAGAAGGATCACTTGAGCCCAGGAGTTCGAGCCCTGTCTTTACAAAAAATTTTAAAATTAGCCAGGTATGGTGTTGCACATCTGTAGACCAGCTACTGGAGCGGCTGAGGTGGGAGGATCCCTTGAGCCTGGGAGGTCGAGGGCTGCAGTGAGCTGAGATCATTCCACTGCCTCCATCCTGGGCCACAGAGCGAGACCCTGTCTCAAAACAAACAAACAAAAAACCAAAAAAACACTCTAGGTGCTGTGGCTAACGCCTATAATCCCAACACTTTGGGAGGCCAAGGTGGGTGGATCACCTGAGGTCAAGAGTTTGAGACTAGCCCGGCCAACATGGTGAAACCCCATCTCTACTAAAAATACAGAAAAATTAACCGGGTGTGGTGGTGGGCACCTCTAATCCCAGACACTTGGGAGGCTGAGGCAGGAGAATCGCTTGAACCCAGGAGGCAGGGATTGCAGTGAGCCGAGATTGTGCCACTGTACTCCAGCCTGAGTGACAGAGCGAGAATCCATCTCAAAAAAAAACAAAACAAAAAAAAAATATATATATATATACATCTATATAATACACTGATTAGCTCATCTTCATAACACTAGATACTCTTAAACATCATTTGAGATGTCTGAGATTCCAAACGTCAAGATGTCAAGGCTTAAACTACAAAATCTTCTGCTGTTAACTGTCCCCCTGTGGCTGCACATTTAGGTCAACTCCAGTGTTCTGCTTCTCTGAATAAGGACTTTGGTATCTAGATGCAGCAACTTTTCCCTGAATCGAGGGTATGTTCTCTGGGTAGCTTCTTGCACTGGGACTGCTAAATCCAGTGGAATAAACATCCTTAAGTTCACGCCAATTTGTCAAACTGCTTTCCCCCAAGGCTATCAACTGCTCCCAGCTCAACTGCTTCCAGCTGTCTTTGAGGGCAGCCCCTGTACACCACCCCTGCAGCCTCATTCATCCCACAGACACCAAGTGGATGCCATGGGATGTGCCTGGAACTGAGGACCCACTGACAGCAAGACCTTTCCCTTCCACCAGGGCGCCAACCCAAGGTCTCCGCAAATACGATGGGCAAAATATGCGGCCTTGTTTCACTTTGCATTTGTTTAACTGCTAGTGAGATGCAGAATAGCGAGACGCCACATATGTTTGTAGTCCTTTCTGAATTATGTTTCCCCCTCCTTCCCTACCGGTATCAGAGAACACATATAAAGTGATTTTAGAAGCCCTGTCTGGGCCTGGCGCAGTGGCCCATGCCTAAAATCCCAACACTTTGGGAGGCCAACATGGGAGGATCACTTGAGGCCAGGAAGTCAAGACCAACCTGGGCAATGCCTTGAGACCCCATTTCTATAAAGAATTAGCTGCGCCTGGTGGCATGCACCTATAGTCCTAGCTACTCAGGAGGCTGAGGTAGGGAGATCACTTGACACTAGGAGTTCAACGCTGCAGTGAGCTGTGATCAGTCCACTGCACTCCAGCCTGGATGACAGAGCAAGACCTGTCTCAAAAAACAAAAAAAGACAAACAAAAAACAAAAACAAACAAACAAAAACGAAGAACAAAACGACAAACCCTGACTGTAATAAAAATACTATCCCTTTTAAAGAAAAATACAAAAAGCAAAGCTAGTACTTGAGATAAATACTGAGGCAGGAGAAACAAGACTTCTTCAGACATCAAAGAAGTGGTTTAACGACCGGTAAACCGAGGAGTAAGCCTAACTTTGACCAACAGAGGATCTTAAAGACCACAAGGCAGCAGACTCTGCCAGAGGCTTTGGCAATCCACAGTGAGCTTCTCCCGGTCTGGCCACATTCCCCTCGCACATCTGCTGTGCACCAGCCCCCTCGACCTTCCCTGTGAACACCAGCTTAGAATCAAAATCAAAGCATTACTCAGCAGGCCATCCCATCACTCCGCTGTGTCTTCCCCAGGCTGCTCTGTGGCAGGGTCAATCAAGATCCCTCTGAATGCCAGGGAGAGCTGTCCGGAGTCTGCAGGAGGCCCTCTGGCTTCGGAGGGCCCAGGCCAAGTGAAGGTCACCCTGCACTGTGTTGGGCATTTACACATCACAATGCTGGGGGCTGCCTTGGCTCACACACCAGCCTCACCCATGTGGCTACACTCAGTGGCATCAGCAAGCAGCATCTCCTCAAAGGCCCAGATTACAAAGTAAAGGCACGTGGCCAGGTGCGGAGGCTCATGCCGGCAATCCCAGCACTTTGGGAGGCTGAAGCAGGTGGATCACTTGAGCTCAGGAGTTCAATACCAGCCTGGCCAACATGGTGAAACCCCATCTCTACTAAAAATACAAAAATTAGCCGGGTGCAGTGGCGCACTCCTGTAGTCCCACCTACTCTGGAGGCTGAGGCAGGAGAATCGCTTGAACCCGGGAGGCGGAGGTTGCAGTGAACTAAGATCACGCCACTGCACTACAGCTGGGGCCATGAAGCAAGACTGTTCCAAAAAAAAAAGAATAAAGGCACTTGCGAGGGTTAATTGTATGTGCCAATTTGGCTGGGCCACAATATCCAGACATTTGGTCAAACATTATTCTAGATGTTTCTACAAGGGTATTTTTTGAATGAGATTAACATTTTAAATCAGTAGATTTTGGGTGAACCAGATTACGCTGCATAATGTGGGCGGGCTTCATGCAAGCAGTGCAAGGCCTCAATAGGAAAAAGATGGACCTTCCAGAAGAAGAAGAAATTCCACCAGCAGATTGCCTCTGGACCTGAACTGCAACTCTTCCCTGGGTCTCCAGTCCACACGCCTACCCTGTGGATTTTGGACTTCCCAGCCCCACAATCACATGAGCCAATTCCTTAAAATAAGTCGAGAGAAGACTGGGCACGGTGGCTCATGCCTATAATCCCAGCACTCTGGGAGGCCAAGGCAGGTGGATCACAAGGTCAGGAGTTTGAGTCTGGCCTGGACAACAGGACAAAACCCCATCTCTACTAAAAACACAAAAGTTAGCAGGGTGTGGTGGGTACCTGTAATCCCAGCTACTTGAGAGGCTGAGGCACAAGAATTACTTAAACCCCGCAGGCAGAGGTTGCAGTGAGCCGAGATCGTGCCACTGTACTCCAGCCTGGGTAACAAAGCAAGACTCCATCTCAAAAACAAAACAAAACAAACAAACAGACAGGAAACAGAGACACAGACAGACGGAAACAGAGATAGATAGAGACGGAGTTAGAGGTAGAGACAGAGGTAGAAATTGAGGCAAAAACAGAGCAGGACGGAGAAGGAACTATACACATCCACATACAGAATGCGCCCCGCTCAGTCCCGCCCCACTGGTTCTGCCTCTCTGGAGAGCCCTGAATAACACAGCAGGTCACACGACTTGGATGCCAGATATAAAAACACTCACACGCTATGAGCAAGAACAAGGGCTGCTGAAAAGCTGCCCTAACAAAGAGTTCAGTAGTAGGAAAAAATCTTGTGTGTGAAAATATTCATTTGAGATAGGCTGCAAACAAAAGATAGGCTGATAACAAAAAGCAAAAACAGAAACCATCAACCTAAATACCCAACAAAAGGGGAAACATTTCACAAGTCGTAACGTGTTGATCTGACTGAACGGCAACTGCATTAGCCAGGGTTCTGCGGAGAAATGGAGCCAAGGGGTGCGTGCATGGAGACAGAGACAGATACAGATACAGGTTTATATTGAGGAACTGGTCCACGCAACCACAGAGACCAGGAAGTCCCATGACCCACAGTCCACAAGCCGAAGACCCAGGAAAGCTGGTGGTGTGGCGAAGTCCAAGCCTGAAGCCTGAGAACCGGGAGAGCAGATGGTAGGAGTCCCTGGCCCAGGGCAGAAAACCCACGTCCCAGCGGAAGCTAGCAGGCGGAAAGGAAAGAATCCCTCCCTGCCTTCACTTGTTGTTCTGTTCGGGCCCTCAATGGATTGGATGGGGTCCCTCCACACTGGGGAGGGCTGTCTCCTTTACTGAGTCCCCCAATTTAGACACTACCCTCACCCAGAAACATCCTCACCGACGCACCCAGAAGCAGAAGTAACGTTCAATCTGGGCACTCCACAGCCCAGTTAGGCTGACACACAAAATTAATCATCACATCAAAAATCAGTATTCATAATTATGTAGAAACATGAAAAACATTTGACAGAAGAGCCGGGTGCAGTGGCTCACACCTGTAATCCCAGCACTTTGGGAGGCCGAACCGGGCAGATCATGAGGTCAGGAGTTTGAGATCAGCCTGGCCAACTTGGTGAAACCCCGTCTCTACTAAAAATACAAAAATTAGCTGGGCGTAGTGGCGGGCACCTGTAATCCCAGCTACTTGGGAGGCTGAGGCAGGAGAATCACTTGAACCCTGGAAGCAGAGGTTGCAGTGACCCGAGACGGAGCCATTGTGCTCCAGCCTGGGTGACAGAGCAAGACCCATGTCAAAAAAAAAAAAAAAAAAAATTGACAGTATAAGCTTTGGATTACAGCATATCTGAATCCAAACCTCAACTTCGCCAATGGTTTTGACAAATCTTGCCTCTCTATGGAATCCTGTTCTTCTGTCTGTAAAATGGGGGTGATATGCCCATGAACCTCACAGGGTTGCTAGAAGTCTTACAATACAGTGTACAAATCACCTGCAGCATCTGGCATATCTCAGATGATCAATAAGGTAACACTATTAATACAAGTATCCATGTGGATGAGGACTAGAGTAAAAATAAAAAGCAATAATAGGCACAGTCTCATCAGAAAAAAAAAAAAAAAAAAAAAAAAACCCTAATATTAAAACAACATGAAAATGAAAATCTTAGGGCTAAAGGTATACTGCAGCCTAAACAATACCGTAAGATGTAGGCCAGACAGAAAGATACATTTCTGTATATTCATTTTACATTTTTTATGTTTTGTAGAGATGGGGTCTTGCTGTGTTGCCCAGGCTGCTCTCAAACTCTTGGCCTTAAGCAGTACTCCCACCTCAGCCTCCCAAAGTGCTGGGATTACAGGCGTGAACGACTGCACCTGGCGTCATTTTACACTTTAAGGAACTGGATTTTGCAGTAGTCATGATTAGTAGGGCACTGGGCTCTACAAAGCCTAAGAGGCAACTAGCTTATTTGGGGTATTTTGGGTTTTTGTTTTTTTTTTGAGAAGGACTTTCTCTCTTGTTGCTCAGGCTGGAGTGCAGTGGTGTCATCTTGGCTCCGCCTCCCATGTTCAAGCGATTCTCCTGCCTCAGCATCCTAAGTATCTGGAGTTACAGGTATGCACCATCATGCCAGGCTAATTTTGTATTTTTTTTAGTAGAGAAGGGGTTTCACCATGTTAGTCAGGCTGGTCTCGAACTCCTGACCTCAGGTGATCCACCCACTTTGGTGTCCCAGAGTGCTGGGATTACAGGTGTGAGCCACTGCGCCTGGCCAACTCCACGGTTAAGGGCAGCAGGTGCAGGCAAGTTACTGCTATTCACACCCCTGCAGATAAACACAGAAGTAACCATAACACAACTATTCTCCTAACCCTGCCTTCGTCCTGAGCTTCCTGTGCTAGTGGCAAGTCAGATGCAAGGAAAATCCAGAGTAAAAGTAAAAAATAATAATAGGCACAGTCTCATCAGACTGTGAAACCCTGTGAACCCCGGGAAGTGAAAATGACAGATGTATGTATAAAGCAAGAATTTCAAGGCACACATTCTGACCTTAACTTTGTATTAAGTGCCCTCAAATGTACTCCCTTCCCCTCTTTCAGTTCTCAGGGAAAGAGCAAATAACACTCCTTCCAAATAACACTCCTAAATCAACACCTGAAGAATGAATGATGCCCTGGGCAAATATAAAACTTGCAGTTGTATTTTACCTCATACCATAGAAAGAGAAAACGGTGAACTTAACCCCCTCATTAAAAGCACAAGGGGAGGCTGGGCATGGTGGCTCACGCCTGTAAACCTAGCACTTTGGGAGGCCAAGGCAGGAGGATCACTTGAGGTCAAGAGTTTGAGACCAGCCTGGTCAATGTGGTGAAACCTCATCTCTACTAAAAACAGAAAAATTAGCTGGGTGTGGTGACAGGCGCCTGTAATCTCAGCTACTCGGAAGGCTGAGGCAGGAGAATAGCTTGAACCCGGGAGGTGCAGGCTGCAGTGAGCTGAGATCATGCCACAGCACTTCAGCCTGGGGGACGGTGAGACTCCATCTCACACACACACACACAAAGAAGTGTGATGGGAACTTACTTCTCAGGTGACTCTGCGTGGCCCCTGTGCTTCCTTCCTGATGAGTTTCCATACACGTCATCTTCGTTTTCATCCACATCTTCATCATCGATGCTTTTCACATCAAGCTTCTGGTACCCAAACTCCCCATTCAAAGACAGGGAATCAATTTTCCACGAGTTGCTGCTCTGACTTCCATTGGAATTTGGCCCAAAGGGGCTTTCAAAGGCTGATATTATATTTACAGAGGAGCGGTCGGAGTTGTCCTCCGAGCTCTCCCCTGCCCCAGGTGTCTTTTTAAAAATGTCCCCAGAGTTCTGCTCATCCTCCTCATCATCAAATGAGATAATGTTGGTCACTTTCTTTTTCTTCTTTCGCTCCTTTTTGCATTTGGCATCTGGCAAAAGAAAAAAATAAAAAGATATGATATAAGAAAAAGTAGGCAAGACAAAAGGATGATGGAACCAACTCACCTCCAGGTTATGGAAAATACTATTCTACTGAGAAATCCACTGTAACATTAATTCAGACTTTTTAAAATCCTCAATGAAAATCTGTGTACAGAAGATTGAGCAGAATGGATACAGCCCTCTACCTCTGATTTAAATAAACACACCACAGAGCCCACATTGAAACTGTTCCTTCTAAGCAGTCACTTTGATACGAAGGATGCTACCATTACCAAAATGATCTTCAGTGCTTCTCTTTGGAAAATATTCTCATAGCCGTAGATGACACCAGGAAAACCAGCTGGGGGGTATAGTCAAGAGTTGAACAGCCTCAAATTCCTGCCATTCCTGTGCAGTGCCCCTTTGCAATGGGGCTTTGTGGCTCCTCCCAGCCAGAGGTGATGTCTATTTCTGCACCCTCTTGAATCTGGCTGGCGTAGTGCTTTTTTTTTCTTTTTTTTTTTTTTTTTTTTTTTGAGTTGGAGCATCTCGCTCTATTGCCCAGGCTGGAGTACAATGGCGCAATCATAGCTCACTGTAACCTCCAATTCCTGGGATCAAACAATCCTCTGGCCTCAGCCTCCTGAGTAGCTGGGACTACAGGTGCATGCCACAACACCTAGCTAATTTTATTATTTTTTTAAAAGATGAGATCTTGCTGTGCTGCCCAGGCTGGTCTCAAAACTTCTGGCCTCAAGCAATACTCCCACCTCAGCCTCCTAAATTGCTGGGATTATAGGCATGAGCCACCATGCCCTGCTTTTACCAAGAGAATGTGGCAGAAAGGGCCGGGCGCAGTGGCTCACGCCTGTAATCTCAGCACTTTGGAGGTGAAGGTGGGTGGATCACCTGAGGTCAGGAGTTCAAGACCAACCTGGCAAACATGGTGAAACTCCATCTCTACTAAAAACACACACACACACACACAAAATCAGCTGGGTGTGCTGGCGGGTGCCTGTAATCCCAGCTACTTGGGAGGCTGACGCAGGAGAATGTCTTGAACATGGGAGGCAGAGGTTGCAGTGAGCTGAGATTGCGCCATTGCACTCCAGTCTGGGTGACAGAACAAGCCTCTGTTTCCAAAAAAAACACAAAGTGGCAGGAATCACACTGTGTGAGTTCTAGTAGCTAGTTGTTAACAGGTCTCACAGCTTTGCGTTTGCTCTCCCGGACAGAGGCCCTGACCCCATACATGAAGAAGCCAGCTCAGCCGACTGGAGGATGAGAGACCAGGAGCACAACCTGAGCCGCCCCAGCACTGACTCCAGACATGTGGATGGGGCCATCTTGGATCTTCCAGTCTAACCACCAGCTCCCATGAGTGAACCCAAGGAATCCAGCGGAAGAGCCACCATGCCAACCCACCTAAAAAAGGAACGAACTGTGGTGGTTTTAAGTCGCTACATTTTTTAATCACTTGTTATATAGCAAATGCTAACTGAAAAAGAAATCAAGCCTGCCTTAGTGACCAGCACTCAGAGAAGATTCTTTGTGCCCCCATTTTAATCATCACACTTAGATGTAAGACGCTTTGAGGGAATTCCAAAAACCCAATCCGTCTAAATCAATGTGTGATGCGGTGAGGCCTCACTGGTATAGCACAACTCCGAGATTACCTCAAAAGCAGAGTTCCAAAAATGGGTGGGACTGCTACTCCTGTGGGTGTAGAAATTTCAGTGTCTTTGTTACATGAAGCCATCAACAGCCCTATCTCCTGCACTGTTCATGCAGGGTGTCTGCTGGAGAAGCACAGGGCAAGACAAACAAGGCCACTGTGTACCAAAGACACCATGGGATTCTGCACTTTCACCATCAGTAATTCCAAAGGGATGGCCCCAGTTACTGCCTTGTTTAAGAGATCTGAGGATACTGAGACTACGTACTTAAGCCCAAAATTTCCAATTTCAACCAGGCACAGTGGCTCACACCTGTAATCCCAGCACTTTGGGAGGCCAAGGCAGGAGGATCACTTGAGGCCGGGAGTTCAAGACCAGACTGGGCAACATAGCAAGACCCTGTCTCTACATATATACACATACATACTACAACAAAACTTCCAATTTTGCTGTAGTAACATCTTAATGTCCCAAACAAATCAAAGGGTATTGAAAACTTCTCACCAAATTAATCTTAACTTAATCAACTTTCTTTTTTTATTCAATTTTTTAATTAAATTTTTTTAAAAACAGGCTGGGCACAGTGGCTCATACCTGTAATCCCAGCATTTTGAGAGGGCAAGGTGGGCAGATCACCTGAGATTAGGAGTTCAAGATCAGCCTGGCCAACATGTGAAACCCCATCTCTGCTAAAAATACAAAAAGAAGCCAGCCGGGCATGTTGGCACACACCTGTAGTCCCATCTACTCAGGAGAATTACTTGAATCTGGGAGGTGAAGGTTGCAGTGAGCTGAGATCATGCCCCTGCACTCCAACCTGGGCAAGAGAGTAAGACTCTGTCTCCAAAAAAAAAAAAAAAAAAAAAAAAAAGTTAAAAAATTGAGACAGGGTCTCACTACATTGCCCAGGCTGGTCTAGAACCCTTGAACTCAAGTGATCCTCCTGCCTCGGCCTCCCAAAGTGCTAGGATTACAGGCATGAGCCACCAAGCCCAGCCTGAACCAACTATCTTCTGCCTCCCCATGACTCCCTAGAGTCAAAGCTGACAACTCCTGTCCTTCCTGAGGCCTCTACTTAAAAGCCATCCCCAATCAGAGGCAAGCCCAACGGCAGACGTTCCCCATAGCAGCCTATGCTTGGCTTTCATCCCTTTTATCCTAAGGATCATAAATTATATATTTTGTCATGAACTACCCACCCACACCCATCCCAAAGGAGACTGCAGGCTACCTGCTGGCAATCTGTCTTTCCTATTCAGCTCACTGCCTAGCACGCAGAATACGATGAAGGAACAAATAAAGGAATGAATGAATGAAGATCAACGTCATCTGGCTCCCGGTGTCTCTCACACCCTCACTTGCCGTTTGCTATGGTTCAGCTGCTCATTTTTCCACCCGGCAATTCTCGCATCTAGATAAGGCCGTCAGAGCCCTTTCAGAGTGAATGAGAATGAGAAACAGAAACACAAATGGAAAACCAGTGTACTGGACTCTATTCCCCTTGGAATGACTTTCAGATGATGAGGTACGTCCACCCCATCAGCCACATTCTGCTTCCCTCTGCTCCGCCTCGAGCACCCGTTCCCACTCACCGGCACTGACATTCCTGGACACGACAGGCAAGGGGTCAGTCTCCTGTTCAGGTTTGATGAGGATGGAGACGGCAGAGGAGGCTGTGATCTCCCTGAACAGGCTGCTCACTCCTTGCGTGGACTCCTTCAGCAAGGAGGTCACATTCTGCGTTGACTCCTTTAAGAGGTCTGAAACGGTGGGAGCAAACTTACTCTGCCCGTTCAAATCCTTGTTGTCGATGTTAATTGCAAAGAGTATGGAGTTCAGACCTGCCCAAAAAAAGGGAGAAGTCTGGAGTGCTTGCTGATGGGCAGTCATACCACCACCAAGAGAAGACAGCTGCAGACCACAGAGTACGGAAGAGGAGACACACTGATCTTAAATAGGTATAAAAATACTTCCGACGCGGAGGTTGTAGGGAGCCGAGATCGTGCCACTGCACTCCAGCCTGGGTGACAGAGCAAGACCCTGTCTCAAAAAAAAAAAAAAAAAAACCTCCCATGAAACTGGGGTCAGCAGACATCCATTATCATGGGAGTTGAGTCATGCCACATTCTCTCCCTAATAGCCAGGAAGATAAATACAAATAAGAAGTCAACCAGGAGGAGGTGAAGGCACAAGTTCTGGGATCAGACTGCCTGGGGGTCAACTCCAGCACTGTCACCTACTAGCTACAAGACCTTGGTCCAGGCTGGGTACAGTGGCTCATCCCTGTAATCCCAGCACTTTGGGAGGCCAAGACAGGTGGATCACCTGAGGCCGGGAGTTCGAGACCAGCCTGACCAACACGGAGACACCTCATCTCCATTAAAAACATGAAATTAGCCAGGCGTGGTGGTACATGCCTATAATCCCAGCTACTGGGGAGGCTGCATAGGAGAATCACTTGAACCCAGGAGGCAGAGGTTGCAGCGAGCCAAGATCATGCCACTGCACTCCAACCTGGGCAACAAGAGTGAAACTCCGTCTCAGAAAAAAAAAAAAAAACCTTGGTCCAGCAACTTATCATCTCCCTGTACTCCAGTCACCTTATCTGTAAGATGGGGACAATATTATCTCTCTCACAGGATTGTAAGTATTAAAGGCAATCACTCACAAGACACTCAGCTCCATAAACCATCAAATGTGCACCGATAACATCATCATCATTACTGTGGACAGAAACTTACACTGGCATCTTATGGTCTACAAAGAAATCATGGTCAAATCCTTTTTCTCATCAATGGACAGGACTAACATAACCCCAAATATATGAGACTTAGTATAAACTTTCAAGGAAAAACAAAAATGAGGCAACAAAGAACTTGGAAAGAGGAAGCAAGTTGCCCACTTCAGTCCAGCTGATTCTACCTTTCACTCTTTGAGTCAAAGGGCAAACAATGTAACAGTCCACCAGGGTCTCCACGATAACTGTCACGTGTGTGGCTCCCGATCTCACATGATTCTCTCACAGCCCCATGAAGGTGATTGCTGAGACAGCATGATTCCCATCTCACAGAGAGGAAAGAAAAGGTAGCAAAGCTTATAGCATCTGCCCCAGGTCACCAGTTAGCAAGGGGTAAAGCCAGGATTCAAAGGTAGGTCTCCCACCTCTAATTCCCCGCAAGGTATATTACATCTCCATAGCCCAACTAAAAACTTTCTCAAATCTTCGCTTTCTCTGCCAGGGTCTCACATTCTAGATGAATAGACCCAACACTCTGGTCGGGCATGGTGACTTACACCTGCAATCCCAACACTTTGGGAGGCCAAGGCGAGTGGATTACTTGAGCCCAGGAGTCCGAGACCAGCCTGGCCAACATAGTGAAATCCTGTCTCTATTAAAATACAAAAATTAGCTGGGCGTGGTGGCAGGCGCCTGTAATCCCAGCTTTTCGGGAGGTTGAGACAGGAAAATGACTTGAACCCAGGAGGCAGAGGTTGCAGTGAGCCGAGATGGCACCACTGCACTCCAGCCTGGGCAACAGAGTGAGGCTCTATCTTTAAAAAAATAAAAATAAAACAACCAACATTCAGTGCTAGTAAAAGAAGGACAGCAGCAAGTGACTCATTAAGTTGTTGAGGGACACAGAAGAATCACAACATTCCATGGCATTGTGGATCTGCCCCAAGGCAGCCCCTCTGCTCGCAAATGTCACAAGGCACGGCGCCCAGGTCTGGGCCAGGCTTACCCGCTGCCATGGTTGGAAGCATGCTGGACCTCTCTTCATCCATCACAAAAGACCAGTCTTCATAAAAAGTGCTGCAGATTCAAAGAGAAGAGGAAATCGCTCTTAGCAGTGGTTCTCTGTGTCTATTAACCAAGAAATTTCATTAGACGGCTCCCTGGAAGATCTGCACCTGATCACCCCAGGAGGGATATGATTTGTCTGAGGTCTCTGCTGGTTTAAAGCTTCTGCTTACGAACAGAAGATCTAACACACACATCCTACAACTTCCTCGCTGGTCCCCCGAGACCCCCAGCTTCAGAGTACGAAAATAGACATTATACGTTAATGTATTTATAAAGCAGCAAAGTAGGAGGGAGCAGTCAGGTGGGTGACTTCCACTCAAGCAATGTCCCCAAGAGACAGACAGGAAATCCAAGCCAGCCAACAGGGCTCGCCTGATTTGCCTAATACAAGAAGAGACCATTTCAGACAGAAATTACAGAGCCTCTATGGCTTCATCAACCAGGGCATTTAATATAATGCCTGCCTTGGCCAGGCATGGTGGCTCATGCCTGTAATCCCAGCACTTTGGGAGGCTGGGGTGGGAAGATCACTTGAGGTCAAGAGTTCAAGACCAGCCTGGCCAACACAGTGAAACTCCATCTCTATTAAAAATATAAAAAATTAGCTGGGCATGGTGGCAGATGCTTGTAATCCCAGCTACTCAGGAGGCTGAAGCAGGAGAATCGCTTGAACCTGGAGGCTCAGTGAGCAGAGACTGCACCACTGTACTCCAGCTTGGGCGAAAGAGCGAGACTCCACCTCAAAATAATAATAATAATAATAATAATATAATGCCTGCCTAGCTTACAGACCTGAAAGCCCACATTATCCTTGGAAAAGGCCAGGAGGCTAAAAATACACCACAAATCTAGATGGCATTGGGATAAGGCCGTCAAGAAAGCCTACAGGGCCTGTCCAAGGTCATCTGGCCAATAAATGGTCCAGCCAGGGCTTAAAAGAAGTTCTCCCGAGTCCAGCTTCCAAGCTCTCTCTGACTTCCTGTCAAGCAATGACAACCAAAAATCCCCAATGCCATAACTTCCCCGCCAGGTCACTGAATTCTAAATTAATCGAGGCAAAGGTCAATTTCACTAAAGCAGTCAGGGATACACAACCTATAGTTGAGAGAGGGGTTGGAAAAATTAGCCACTGAAGTGACTGAATACAACTAACAGAAACTAACACTGGGTACACACAGACATAAAGATGGGGACTGCTAGAGAGAGTAGAGAGGGAGAAAAGCATAGACTGAAAAACTACCTACCGGGTACTATGTTCACTACCTGGGAGATGGGTTCAATCATGCCCGAAACCTCGGCATCACGCAATGTTCCCAGGTAACAAACCTGCACATGTAGCCCCTGAATCTAAAATAAAAATTGAGGCTGGGAACGGTGGCTCACGCCTATAATCCCGGCACTTGGGAGGCTGACGTGGTGGATCACTTGAGGTCAGGAGTTCGAGACCAGCCTGGCCAATACAGTAAAACCCCGTCTCTATTAAAAATGCAAAAATTAGCTGGGCGTGGTGGTGCACACCTGTAATCCCACCTACCGGGCAGGCTGAGGCAGGAGAAAGAGAGAAGAGGTGAATTTCCAATATACTTTTCCAGAAAATATTAGCAGACGTACAAACCACGTGCTCAAGCTGACATTCTGACTGTACCTGATTCCTAAAATCATGATCCTTTAAAAATCTGAGCCCGTTTTCGTGCATCTAAATGAATGTGTTTTCCCCACATCGGGTTGGGGAAGTGGCTGGTGATCCAGGTAAGGTCAACTGTGATTCTTACCTGCTGGACTCACTTCTTCTGGATGTTCACTTCAACTTTGAGACTGAGTATGTAACTCTGAACTACCCATAAATGATATGCTGGAAAGAGCTTCACAGAAATTCACTTCAAGAAATAGGAGTAGGCCACACACAGTAGCTCACGCCTGTAATCCCAGCACTTTGGGAGGCTGAGGCGGGAGGATCACGAGGTCAGGAGATCGAGACCATCCTGGCTAACACGGTGAAATCCGTCTCTACTAAAAATACAAAAGATTAGCCAGGTGTGGTGGCGTGCGCCTGTAGACCCAGCTACTCAGGAGGCTGAGGCAGGAGAATCGCTTGAACCCGGGAGGCAGAGGTTACAGTGAGCCAAGATCACGCCACTACACTCCAGCCTAGGCAAAAAAGCGAGACTCCATCTCAAAAAAAAAAAAAGAAAGAGGCCGGGCGCGGTGGCTCAAGCCTGTAATCCCAGCACTTTGGGAGGCCGAGGCGGGCGGATCACAAGGTCAGGAGATCGAGACCACAGTGAAACCCCGTCTCTACTAAAAATACAAAAAATTAGCCGGGCGCGGTGGCGGGCGCCTGTAGTCCTAGCTACTCCGGAGGCTGAGGCAGGAGAATGGCGTGAACCCAGGAGGCAGAGCTTGCAGTGAGCCGAGATCGCGTCACTGCACTCCAGCCTGGGTGACAGAGTGAGACTCCGTCTCAAAAAAAAAACAAAAAAACAAAAAAAAAAGAAAGAAAAGAAAAGAAAAGAAAGAAAGAAACAGGAGTGTGTTTTCCTTAACTAAAGCTGGTTAATGCCCCAGAGGTCCAGATGTTCTCAGCCCCCCGGACTCTGACCCTGAGCAGTATACAAGTGTCACCAGTATCAGTCCTCCTGGCTCCCAAGTCCTCCCATTTTGGACCCATACAATTGAACAAAGAGCCACAGGCAACAGAGAACTTTAACGATATTTTCAAGAGCCCCAGTGCACAATACCAGAAGACCTGAGACATTACCAGTAGAGAGGTGACCACAGCAGTAGATAAAGCAGAAGAGGAGACCTGAACTAGGGAACACAGGTCAAGACATAAAATCACGAGAACACACCACACTGCTCACAAACTGCCCACTGATTGAATTCAGGGAAATTTCACTGTTGAAGATCTGGGCATTGCTGATGGGGAAGTTACTTAAGGAACCGGAAGAGGATTCATCAATGTTGCTCCGTATCACTCAAGGACACAAAACAACACGTCTAGTCCACCATTCTCAGAGCAAAAGTAATGGCCACGCCCAGGCACGGTGGCTCACGCCTGTAATCCCAGCACTTTGGGAGGCCTAGGTGGGCAGATTACCTGAGGTCAGGAGTTTGAGACCAGCCTGGTCAACATAATTAAACCCCGTACCTACTAAAAATACAAAAAATTAGCTAGGTGTTGTGGCACATGCTACTCAAGAGGCGCTGAGGCAGGAGAATCGCTTGAACTGGGAAGACAGAAGTTGCAGTGAGCCCAGATAGCATCAATGCACTCCAGCCTGGGCAACAGAGTGAAACTCCGTCTCAAAAACAAACAAACAAAAAGCAAACACAAAAAAATGACTTCCTTCTCCAAGTTAAAATTTCCATGTTTTTTTTCAGTTTGGGATTGAACGAATGCAAGAATCCCAAATTAAAATTCTATGCCTGGCATGGTAGCTCACACCTGTAATCTCAGCACTTTGGGAGGCTGAGGTGGGAAGATTACTTGAACCTAGGAGTTCAAGACCAGCCTGGGCAACACACTGAGACCCCATCACTACAAAAAAAATGTTTAAATTAGCCAGGCATGATGGCATTCGCTTATGGTCCTAGCTGCTCAGGAGGCTGAGGTGGGAGGATTGCTTGGGCCAGGGAGGTCCAGGCTGCAATGACCCGTGTTCATGCCACTGCACTCCAACTTGGGCAACAAAGCAAGACCCAGTCTTAAAAAAAAAAAAAAAAAAAAAAAAAAAAAAAAAAAAAAAAAAAAAAAAAGGCCGGGCGCGGTGGCTCAAGCCTGTAATCCCAGCACTTTGGGAGGCTGAGACGGGCGGATCACGAGGTCAGGAGATCGAGACCATCCTGGCTAGCACGGTGAAACCCCGTCTCTACTAAAAATAAAAAAAAAAAAACTAGCCGGGCAAGGTGGCGGGTGCCTGTAGTCCCAGCTACTCGGGAGGCTGAGGCAGGAGAATGGCGTGAACCCGGGAGGTGGAGCTTGCAGTGAGCTGAGATGCGGCCACTGCACTCCAGCCTGGGCGACAGAGTGAGACTCCGTCTCAAAAAAAAAAAAAAAAAAAAAATCCAGAAAGTGAAGAGCAAGCTATGTCCTAAGACAACAGCTCTCTCCACATTCAAGTGCCATGCCGAGCCCTTTACAGGCAGTCTCTCAATGATTCTCCCCCAAGTTTCCCCACAGCTCAGCTGAACACTCCAGAGCTGTCAGAGGGAGGCCCACTTGCCCCAGATCGGGGAACTAGGATGAAAATCCAGGTGGTCTGACTCCAGACTCCAAGATCTTCACCCCTTGTTCCACCCCATCCCAGGTCCCGTCCCAGCCACGTACCTGAGCCTGCAGCGGTCGGCCAGGAGCATGTGGAGGTAGCGCTCTAGGGAGTGCTCGTTGAGGGCACAGCGCAGCCAGGCGCGGCCCCGGCCCACGTCGGAGGCGATGTGGCGCAGGGAGTAGAAGCGCTGCAGCTCGTGCTTGTTGAGGACCTCCTTCACGTAGTACCAGAACACGGGCTCTACGGAGAGAGGGCACAGGCACCTGGCACTCAGCCTGGGGTACTTAGCATTGGGAAAGGAACACACAAAGCCCCTAGGCGATGATGAAGATTGTAACAGAGTATCCCCTTAGGATGGAAAAGGTGGGGGATAACACCAAAGACATGGAATCAACCCAGATACCCACCAATAGTGGACTGTATAAACAAAATGTGATACATTTACACAACAGAATACTACGCAGCCTTGAAAAAGAACAAAATTGTGTCCTATGCAGCAACACGGATGACTGGAGGCCATTATCCTAAGCAAATTACACAGAAATAGAAAATGAAATACTGCATATTCTCACTTATAAATGGAAGCTAAACACTGGGTACACACAGACATAAAGAGAGCAAACAACAGATACTGGGGACTGCTAGAGAGAGTAGAGAGAGTAGAGAGGGAGGACAGCACGAAATGAAAAACTACCTACCAGGTACTATGTTCACTACCTGGGAGATGGGTTCAATCATGCCCTAAACCTTAGCATCACGCAATGTACCCAGGTAACAAACCTGCACATGTATCCCCTGAATCTAAAATAAAAATTGAGACTGGGAACGGTGGCTTACGCCTGTAATCCTGGCACTTGGGAGGCTGAGGTGGTGGATCACTTGAGGTCAGGAGTTCGAGACCAGCCTGGCCAACACGGTAAAACCCCGTCTCTACTAAAAATGCAAAAATTAGCTGGGCGTGGTGGTGCACACCTGCAATCCCACCTACCGGGCAGGCTGAGGCAGGAGAATCACTTAAACCCAGGAGGCAGAGGTTGCAGTGAGCTGAGATTGCACCACTGCACTTCAGCCTGGTGACAGAGCAAGACTTAGCCTCCAAAACAATAATGAAATTTAAAAAAAGGTGGGAGATACAGAAGACTATATCAAAAATAAGAATGACTTTAAAACCTCTTATCCAGAAAAGACCAAAGTTGACATTTTCAAGAATTCTCAGTCTTTTTTACTGCATTTTTCTTTTTTATAATAAAATCAACATTTGCTGTAGGCTGAATTATAATCCTCAAAGACATTGACTTCCTAAGCTCCAGAATTCTCTGCATATTATGTTATACGGTAAAAGAGTCTTTGCAACTGTGTTAGGATCTGGAAATTGGGAGGTTATCTTGCATCATCCCTGTGAGGCTGATGTAATCACAACATCTTCATCAGAGGCAGGGACAGGCAGAGAGAAACTTGACGCAGAATAGGAGGACATGATGTGACCAGAGAAGCAAAGACTAGCATGGGGCAGCCACAGCCAAGGAAAGTGGGCAGCGAGCAGACTCTGGAAGGGCCAGGAACGGATTCGGCCTGGAGCCTCCAGAAGCAAGCAGCCCTGCTGTCTGTCACCTTGACTTTAGCCCAGTGAAGCTGATTTGGGACTTCTGGCCTCCGGAACGGTGGGAGAATAAATTATAGTGTTTAAAAGTCACCAACTGTGTATTAATTTGTTACAGCAGCCAGAAGAAAAGAACACATCAGGCCGGGCACGGTGGCTCACGCCTGTAATCCCAGCACTCCAGGAGGCCAATGCGAGCGGATCATCTGAGGTCAGGGGTTCCAGACCAGCCTGACCAACATGGTGAAACCCCATCTCTACTAAAAATACAATAATGAGCCAGGCCTGGTGGCAGGTGCCTGTAATCCCAGCTACACAGGAGGCTGAGGCAGGAGACTCACTTAAACCCAGGAGGCAGAGGTTGCAGTGAGCTGAGATCACACCACTGCACTCCAGCCCGGGCAACAGGGAAAGACTCCATCTCAAAAAAAAACAAAAAAACAAAAAAAATAGGCTGGCACGGTAGCTCACTCCTGTAATCCCAGCACTTTGGGAGGCTGAGGCAGGCAGATCACAAGGTCAAGAGATTGAGAACATCCTGGCCAAAATGGTGAAATCCCGTCTCGACTAAAAATACAAAAATTAGCTGGGCATGGTGGCGCATGCCTGTAGTCCCAGCTACTCGGGAGGCTGAGGCAGCAGAATTGCTTGAACCCGGGAGGCGGAGGTTGCAGTGAGCCGCTATCATGCCACTACACTCCAGGTTGGTGACAGAGCGAGACTCTGTCTCAAAAAATACATAAATAAAACCACATCATATTGTATGAGTGTATATGCATACATAGTTATATGTGTAATTTTATATCCTGATTCATTTATTTCTTGTCTAGATCATGAACATTTTCCTATTATAATTAAAAGTCTTTCAAAGATGATTTTTGATGGTTTTCCAGTAAAACACAACTATTTCCCTACTACTAAGGGCATGGCACATGGCCAACTTTCCTTCTGTGCAGTAAAGAACACCCTATGCATAAATAATTGTCCTCATTTCTAGTTCCTTAGGAAAGATTTCCACATGTCAAATTACTCAGTCTGAGGATAGGAACAGATTTAAGGCTTTATGGGAAACTCAAGACAGTTTATTTTTACCCATAAGACAGTCATTCCTACGACTACTTGTATCTCCTCACATCCCACCACTTTTTATCCACGTGTCCACAGATTTTTAAATTTTTTTATATATATTTTAAATTAATTATTATTTGTTTATTGTTGAGACAAGGCCTCTCCCTCTGTCACCCAGGCTGGAGTTCACTGCAGCCTCAATGTCCTGGCCTCAAGTGATCCTCCTGTCTCGGCCTCCCGAGTAGCTGAGACACAGGCATGCACCCCCATGCCCAGCTAATTTTTTAATTTTTTATTTATTTGTAGAGATGATGTTCTGCTATGTTGTGCAGTCTGGTATCAAACTCCTGGCTTCAAGTGATCCTCTTGCCTAAGATTCCCAAAATGCTAGGATTACAGTCGGGAGCCACCATGCCCAACCCCAGATTTTTTCATAGTTGTCATGCTAGTGTATACATAATTTTGTGATCAATTTTCTTCACTTAACATTGGCTCTTCAACACTTTTTCGGGCTGGCAATAATAATAACAGCAGCAACAGCAACTACTATTTACTGAGCAGCAACTAAGCACCAGCCATTGCAGTAAACACTTTACATCTGACATCATCACAACCAAGGCCATCTCCATGTGAAAGACAAGGTCTGAAGCCAGGACAAGTAAAGCGACTCACCCAGCAACACAGTTAGTAAACAGTATGGCAGAAAGGGACCTCAGAGCTCACTGCAAACCCAAATCACGCTGCCTTGCAAAATGAGGGGACTTGGCCTTCTTCGAAATGGTCACGTTCACAACTGTTTAATACTCCAAGTGGGGGAAGCTGAGTCTTTGCAGTTAGACCCGGCTTCCAATCTAGGAGCTAAACAGGCTCACAGTCCCCTCTGAAACATCACAAAGGCTTTGAACCTGCCTTCCAGAAGTAGGCAAGTACACCCATCTCCAGAAACTGCATGGCAGGCTAGTTAAGTTCACTCTAATGTTTCAATTCAACTTCACTAGGATGCACTGCATTCTTCCTGTGAGCTGTGAACCGAGGTAGGCTATGTGTCACCAGCTAGAGACAACAACAACTCATTCCTAAGGGACTTCCAGTCTAGCAGGCAGGACGAACAGAGAAAAAGTCCATTCAACCAAATGACCTTCCGCAAGTCACTCAACCATGCTAAGCCTGAAAATCCTCTCCCATGAAATCAACACAAAAGTACAGAATCACCCAAGGTTACTGGGATAACTAGAAAGGGAAGGAAAGCACCAAGCACAGTGCCCAGTCCATGATGACCAATCAGCGTTTCCTTAATAATTAATTCCCTTCACAGCAGAGGGTATTCACGTGGGTTCTTCTGTTTTCGCAGCATCTAAATGTACACATCTGTATGCATGAGCGTAAGTATGTGTGGATCAAGCCAAGCGCTGGGATCATTTAGAATAATCTTCCCAGGAATAACAAAAACCAGCAAGAGGGCAGGTCCCTCAAGACTATCTTCTGTCTCAATCCCTAAATGTCAAACTAATCCACTTCCCAAGCTCATCAGATCAGTCTAATCCACACAACTGTACACAACCGCCTTCCTTCCACTCTCCACCTCACTCAGAAACCAGGACGGGGAATCTGGTGACAACTCCCTCGGTCAGCTGGCCAACAACGTGTTTCGAAATACCCCAGACCATTATCTGTACATCCATCACATTTCCAATCAAGTGACTCTCACCTGCAGCCTGTCTTGAAAAACGCAGTCACCTCCCTCCGACCTTGAATCTACATGAATGCTTTAAAGTGTGTTTTCACCTTTCAATTCTGCAAATTGCTTACTGCTACAGAATCCTTTTAAAGCTTGTCAGGGTCATGCTGCTGATGATAAGAATTATCCCAGCAGGGTTCTGCTTCCACTGCCAGAATGAATGTGCTCTATTTAAAGTGCAGCTCACCTGCCAATTAGCGCCTGCCGTGTCCGTAATTTAATTTAGAGATATACGCTGATCTGCTTTGAAACATGGTGCTAAGTCAAAAAGCGGGCAAGGGCTTCTGGTTCTGCAAACACCTGAAAGCCAAACACCAACAAAAACAAGTGCCAGGAAGGGGTGTTGAGAAGAGCTGCCCTGGGGCACCTGTTAAAAGAGGATGACTAACAGCACCAGACTTTTGGGAAAGTTTCTATCAAGTCTTAACCTATCACCGATGCCATCACCAATGCCAAGAATTCATACCTTAGAGACCACAAGGAAGACAAAAACCTTGTCCCAAATTCTAGTTCAGGCACTGTGTCACCTTGGGAAACTTTTTTTGTCCTCTACTTTCTTCATCTGTACAATGGGTAGAACAGTACCTACCTGTATGGATTGCTATGAGGGAAAAATGAGAAATAGGAATACATGTCAAGTGTATCCAATAATGCAGTGAATAAATGTTAGCCATAGCGATTAACATACCTGGCATATAATTGGTGCTCAGTGAAAACCAGCTATTAATATCACTACCACACTTGCACCAAACAGCATTCCTTTTCCTTGTTTGGAGTTTCTTTTTTTTTTTTTTTTTTTTTTTTTGAGGGGCGGGGTGGGGACAAGGTCTCGCT